ACACCGAGATGATTATGTGCTACAATTGAATCGTGCACAACCTAGCCCCATAAATGTGGCCTATTTACTGGACTGCCTCCGTAAACATAGGCCACACATCCACATGTACAGAAATCGTGTCGACTTTGCCAAATTTTGATTTTCACATTTAGGCTTAGTTTTTAGGATTGTTTTGCTTTAGAAGCATACTCACCCTCTTTATAGGCTAGTCAGAAAGTGCTGCCTTTTTCAGATGTCTAATTTTTGTGAAATTTCATGTTGAAACTTTGATACGCAAACGTGTAAAAATGAATCTGGAAATTTCACAAAAATATACATCTGAAAAAGGCAGCACTTTCTGATTAGCCTATAAAAAGAGTGAGTATGCTTCTAAAGCAAAAAAAACCTACAAACTAAGCATAAATGTGAAAATCAAAAATTTGGCAAAGTCGACACGATTTTTGTACATGTGGATTTGTGGCCTATGTTTACGGAGGCAGTCCAGTAAATAGGCCACATTTATGGGGCTATGCACAACCATGACAGCCAGAAAAGTGGCGTCTGGATCAATTTTTATTTGCAAAATATCCAATGAAATTTTCCTAAAATAGGGCCTAATTCCTTTTTTTCCCCCTTGCTCAATGCCCAGATATATATGTACACATTGTCAGGTTTGTTCTACTGTCATAAAAAGGCAATAATACTACAACTTACCCATCACTGTGGCGTTCTGCTTGGAGGACCTCACCAGACAGCCGCGTATCGTGTGCGCTTTATGTGTGACCGCGTCGAACAAGTTTGCCCATGGTTTTTAAAAATGGCGGCTTCACTGAAATTACGGCCTTGCGCCCCCTGTTGTCCGTCTATAGGTTCTTTATGTCTATGGTCGCAACCCAGTAAATAGGCCAACAATCCGTCCGCCGAGATAATGAATGATACTTATAACATTCAAATCATTCTATATCAGAGAGTTTTCAGGGAATTGAAGACACCTCTGTATGGTGCTCTATAACGGACAGGCAAACGTCGTGGTTCAACTTTCAAACGTTGTGGTTCAATTTTTCAGACGTCGTAGTTCGTTTCAAACTTAGTTTACTTAATTTTTTAGCCATCGTCGATCCACTGCAGGATGAAGGCCTTAGCAGGATGTCTCCAAATGTCTCTTTTTGTGCTTAATGGTACCAATTGCTTTCCTCCAGTATTGTTGCAGCTCGTCTCTCCATCTTTTTCTCTGGCGCCCTCTATTTCATTTGTTCTCATGTGGTGTCCAGGCATGCCTAGTTCCATTTTCTGTACTTTACTGTTCTAAGATGTCATAAATTTATGTCTATCCCCTTTATTTGTTTGTTTTTTTGTCCAATTGTGCGTGATCTTTAGTATACGTCTTTCCATGTTGTGGTGAGCTGCTGCTCGTTTTCTGTCCATATTTGATGTTCGGGTTTTAGCTCCGTATGATAGCAGGGAGGATGCACTGGTTATACACTTTTCTTTTGGGGCACATTGGGAGGTTGCCTTTTAAGATAATGCTGTATCTTCCATAGGCTGACCCTTCAGCTTTGATATTCTTCTTCGTATTTTGTTGTCTTGGTTTTTGTCTTGAAAGGAGAACTGTCAGCCTAGGTAAATGTATTCGTCAACCTGTTCTATTTATATGTCATTAATTATCACTTGCTTTGGACTTGTTGCTGGTCCTGCCATGACCTTTGTCTTTTTCATATTCATTTTGAGTCCAGTAAACCTACTTGCTAGGGCCATTTCTTGCAGCATAGTCTCAATATCGTTGAGGTTGTCGGCTATAATGACTATGCCATCTGCAAATCTGAGATGGTTAAGATTTTCCCCGTTTATGGTGACTCCTTTAGTTACCCAATTGAGTGTTTTAAGTATTCCCTCTAGGCAAGCTGTAAATAGCTTTGGTGATCTTGTGTCTCCCTGTCTTACTCCCTTCTTTCTCATGATTTTTTTCGCTGTCTTTGTGCATTTTGACAATGTTGAAGCAGCCGGAATGTATGTCTCTATAGATCTTGATGTAAGCGTTGTTGATTCCCTGGTCTTCAATTGCTCTCAACACTGCCCACATTTCAACCCAGTCTTGGACCACGCAGACAACAAAAAGAGCGAAACACCAAGTAGCTTGAGAATGCAATAGCTGACAAAGAGACAAATCCATTGCGATTTTGGACTCAAGTTGGTTCGGAGTTCCAAACTGTTTCGATAAACTGTGCTTTATTGCAACCAACGACATAATCAGTTTAAACAAGGCCTTAATAAATCCCCGTCATCTGATTGGTGGATCGTTGATCACGTATGTCTCAATTATTCTTCACACACCGCAAAATAGAGGTTCCATTGCAGTAATATTGCCTGGTCATGCTACTAGTTGCGCTAAATATAACACAGCTCTGATTGCTCTGATGCTGTACATTCATAGTACCAGTTTACCAGTTACCAGTGAGATGACGAGGATTTATTCAAGCGTTGTATAAAACAATAATGAATGATCCATATTCGTTCAAAGGAAAGAATAATTGCATTTGATGACAAATGGAATGTTCCAATCCACTCGCGCTTCGGCTAGTGGAATGGAACAGTCCAACTGTCACGTCATGGAACTATTCTTACCATAAACATTAATTATTGGTAATATACAAAGGAGGTGTTGTCCTCATTAGATCGTTCCATTACGCACAGCCCACTACACACATGGACAACAACACGTGCGCGTCTCTAATGACTTTTTATGCATCATGTTTCATCCGCATGAGCTTAACCATTCTATATCCTCTGCTGCTCAGTTTTCTAATGCGCTATTAACGAACGTAATTTTGCAAACACACTGTATTATAATAATAATACTTTGGCCACCTATGAACATAAACAGTGTAAAAACAACTTAAATATTCATTATCATTTAATACAAGGCTTCGGTTTACCCAGTACGCAGACTGTCGACCGCATTACGGTCGAACTCGAAGCACTCGTGTACAACTCACGCACAAAAGAGTGTTTTGCCTGCAATCAGGGTCCCCTTATTGGCTCTCTTTTGTTTGTACTAACTTTTTAGGAAGGCTTCCCATATGTTTTGTACACGATCGCCAATTTGGGGACCTTAAGGAATGCGGGACCCTATTGTCCTCTATAGTTCAACGTCCCATATTGAATGCAGCCGAAACAAACTCTACACACACTGGTGTCTTAATGGTGTAATTCGAGGGTTTTCTACAGTAAGTCACCATCAATATTTTGTATATAAAAACAACAGCTTCCATTGGTTTGAAACCGTTTTCAAATCGAGGTCGTCCTCGATTTGCAACTACTGTCCTCAATTATTCGATGATGCTTCATATGCGTGTCCTCGATTTACACCTTAAATTTCGTCACCGAACATCGCTAAGCTCAATTCTCAGTTTGAATTTCAAAAAGCCACCACTGGATTTCATTTAAGGTCAGTATAATTCATTTTTTTAGCATACCGGTTTGTCCTAAATTTATAAAATTTGTGTAGCAATCGGCGTTAAATTGAAAAAAAGCAAATTCGTTTTTTGCCATTCGTTTCAATGTTGTTGTCATTAAATTTCGTTTCTGGTGACTTTAAACGTTACGATAAGAAAATGTGCCCAATTTGTGAATTTACTTGAAGAATTGAACGCATTAGTCAAATTATAATGACACCGTATATGTTCTTATATGTATACATAACTAGTTACCTGTAAGTTTTGAATTTTCTTTTCTTTTTCACAATTAACATAAGAATCAGGACTAGACCTTTTACTGATTGTAATGTTAATTGTAAAACACAGAAAAGAAGATTCAAAACTTACAGCTAACTACTTTTATTTATGCATTATGCACATAAGGAAGTGCATGCATTGCATGTCTAACACAAACTTTAGTTTGTTTAGGTTTTGCCACCTATTCTTGACTTGATTTTCATTTCTGTATTCTTCTCTATTCTTTTTTTTTTTGGTTTACCATGAAGAGGAAATAAATTCTACAGAATGAAATGAATGAAGTAAATGTTTAAGTTATAATTATCTTAATGCGCACAATGCTTCAAATAAGTCCAAAGATTGGGCACATGTTCTAATTGAAACCTTTTTAATTTTGCAGAAACGAAATGTAATGACAACAGCATTAAAACGTAATAACCCAAAAAAAATGCCGATTTTTTTTTTTTCAATTCAACGCCGATTGCTACAGAAGACGAATTTCACAAATGTGGGACGAATATTTGGGACGGTATGCTACAAATTTGGATTATACTGAATTTTCAGTGAAATTAAAATTGAGAATTGCGCTTGGCGATGTTCGGGGACGAAATTAAAGTATCGATATCTTTAAGTATCGAGTCTTTAACTGTCTTTAACTGTCGAGTCTTCAACTGTTTTCAAATCATTGTTTAGAAACTACCTGCAAGGAAATTGATTTTGTTTATTTTGTTTATTACTTCTTTACCACTCTCACCGTGTTTACATTGTACATTGTTTTATGCATACTTCTTGTCTTTATTAAGTTAATGGATCATCTTAGGTTGGGGTGTGGTAGTTGGGCGTAACGGGAACACTTGAGATTTTCTCTATGGGGGGGTTGGAGGTAATTAAGGGAAGTGTTTCATAAGTCCTCGGACTTCTTACAACTTCCTTATAACTTCTTTGCTTTTCATTCATCTTTGTCATTTACTTTTATGTTTTGTTTATCTATTAAGTTACATACTTTATATGTGTTCATTATGAAGATATGAAATAAAAACTAGATTGAAACAAAAATATGGGGAATTCGTGTGATACAAGTGTTAAAATAACCGGGAAACCTATTAAGTTGTCTCTTCCAACATCCTCAATAAACGTTTCAAACAAATTCATCGTGAATGTAATAACACTCACGAAATGATAAAATGTTCAATGTAAAATCGTACAATTCTAATTAGTTTAGAGCCAATATTTACAAGCATTCATTTTGTTTGAACGGTATAGCTATACTCAACGTTATTAAATGAGATAAATAACATTGTGAATATCTGACTAATAGCAGCCAATCAATTCAAACCTCATGCTGCAATGTTCGTTCCAATCCGTGGGGTGAATGCGCAGGATTCTGGTGCGCAAGGTAAACGGCAGGCGAGTAGTTACCAGGGTGTTACTATCCTTGTTACCAGGGAACTGTTAACAAAACAACCAGGGGAATTGTATGCATATGTTAAAGTTTCGATTTTAAGTTACTATTAATTAGCATACGACTTTTGACATTTTTGGGTATTGAATAATCCTACCTTCATTGTTGTGTCGTCTGCATCAATCACGTAATTCCAGGCCTGACCGTCCTCGCTGTACGTCACTTGGTACTCCTCCACCCTTTGGCGGTCGTTATCTCCACGCCCCTGGGTGATCAGACCAGTAATGGTAACTGTGCCAACGAAGTCAACCTGTATCCATGGACTGATATTATCAGTGCTGCCAGCGTTACACCACGCTGCAGCGTATCCTGTTAAACGTGAACAACATTTGCTTAACTTCCACTTTTTTAAAATTAGTGTATGCCTACGAATGATATTTCAAATAATTGAGGCAATCATGATAATTTCTAAAGAAGAGCCTCGATTGCGCTTATTTCAAGCACAAACAGTCCGCTCTAAATTGAAAAGCTAATTAAAAAAAAAAAAATACTTTCGATTTCTTAGCATAAACCGAGTTTTATTTTCAAATTCTCTTTGTAGACTTTATTATTGCAAACAAAATTATCAATTCAACTTTAACATTTATTTGTAAGAGTACCACTCCCAAAGAGCACGGGTTTTAGTGTCTATAAATGCTTTCACTCAATGACAGGAAAGCTGAATCTATGGTTATACTATACGTTTAACTGTAGTCCGACAGTCTTTTACTGAAGTCCGACAGTTTTCGCCCTACCCCAAGCTAGCCGACAAAAGTTGCACTAGTTGTGTCGACTAATCGGGACCAGCCTATTGAGGTCGCTCGCATAGACGGTTACAACAATAGCCTGCGCAGGCGTGAAGGTACGGCACGAAGAGTCGACCGTCCGTCTATGCGATTAAACTTACTCGATTGAGTTGAACCAGTAAATGTTGAGGAATAAATCCTTATTAACGTGCTTCTAAATGAAAAGTATAACGTTATTAAGCTGAATACAACAGATACCTTGAGTATTAAGCCTGGCCCTGGGTGGGGCGTGGTCAGCGCGGTTTTGCCAAAAAGACGAAGCTGTGATGCGTTCATCCGGGATGCGACCATCTTCCATCCCGAGAGGTCCCTCCACTGAGCAAGAAAGCTTACCTGCAGGGAAAAATTAATACGAAATTACTGTACTGAATCAGAATGCTATATTTACGAATTACACCGGTCGTCATATGATTTTATGTGTGAAAATTTGAATCGGAATTAACAATGAAGCCAAACGACGTTCTTGGATGAAATTAAAGTATCTTTTCATGGAATTTAAATGATACACATTGAAAATTACTGGGAAAACTTATATTTGTTATTTTTTACTCAAGGGATTGGTGTCGGCATCCAGGCCCCAAGCCGGTTTTAAACAAACTTGATTTATACCGGGCAAGCACATATTTATTAGCATCTATAAATGCCTTTCTGTCAAAAGGTCAAAACAATTCAAAAGGCATACTTTTAAACGATTTTGTTCATGTTCATGTTCTACGAAACATCCCGCTAGCTATGTTTATGGTATGTGCCGCTCTCGCGAATAGTGCTAAAAAATCACCTGATGTGGAGATTGCGCTTGTGGCGCGTACTGCACGATGTGGCGCAGAGCGTGGCTGTGCCAGTGTAGTGTGAATTTAGGACTCTATGAAATACGGACTCTTTGGTAGTATTGCGCACGCCTATATTTGAAGATTGTGAACCTTTCTCTAATAAAAAGATAAAAGGGACCAGATTTCACAGAAGTCTTAATTTCGGGTAACACCAGAAAAGTGTTTAAAACCAGCCAATCGGTGTTTTATCAACCGTTTAAAACCACCCAAGTGATGGACTCTCGACCAATAGGAATGGGCTAAGTGTCTCAAATATTATTAATAAATAAGGGAAAAAATATAATTATGCTTGACCAGTTTAAAACAAGAACTTTTAAAAACGGCTTGGGGCCTTGTCGCAGAACGATAGCCAGTTTAAAAGGTACCTATTCAATACTGGCCAAGCAAAGAGTCCCGTTCATAAATACCTTTCTATCCAAAAGTCAAAACAAGTCAAAAATCCACAAATTTTTAAAGATTTTGTGAACACTTTACTTCATGTTTTGTAAGAAACCCCTCTGATCCATGTCTATATGGTATGTGCTTCGCACGCTTTCTACTAAAAATGTTATGTCCTTATATGGAAATTGGCGCGTGCACGGCTCGTACTGCGCGATGTAGCACAGAACGCAGCGGTGTTTTACCGGCAATTTAAAACCTCCCACGTGACGGGCTTTTAACCGAATTGAATTGGTAAGCTGTCTCATTTATGTATACATTATTACGTGGGGGGGGGGGGGGTGTGGAGAGCAACGAAACTGGATCTGGGTCATGTACATGTATTGATTGACACCTATTGCTTATTATAAGTTTCATCTCGTGTTTCTTTTATATTATATTTTATTACATATCGTTATATTATGTGTATTACTTGCGTTTGTATACAGAGTTGGAAATAAATGTGAAATGAATGAATGAATGAAGTGGCGCACCAATCAGGATTAGTAGTTAGAATTGCCAGACCGGCCGGCAATTGTAAAATGTTAAAATCGGGGATGGGCTGGATCTCATTTTACGGATGGGGGGCGCTCTCCTGTAGCCCTTGCTTCTTATGTTTTCTCATCTTACACATGAATCCGAGGATTAAAAAAGGGATGAGCACACTACAGTATCGAGCTGAAACAGTCTTCACTCTTTCTTTTCTTTAATCATTAAAACATCGAGGGATTGCCCCGTGGGATGGGGGCCGCTAGTGTACTCACCAGGGCAGTTCAGCCATTGCTGTATCTTCTCCAGATCGCTGCTGATCAGAAAGGTGTCATAGTGCGTCAACTCGTAGGGTCTGTACGGTACGAAGGTGCTGAAGCCACCCATTCCGATCTGCGTGCACTCACACGGGTCCACGGCTTGCATCAACCAGCGGTAGCGGCCCGTCTGTGCGTCGGGCTCCTGGCTAATGGTGCACGGCATTGCTTGGACATGGAAGGACGTTGACAAAACAATTCACAGTCTTCAAGAATTCAGCCCGCTCCCCGAGGGAGACACATTTTTCTGCGTTATGCAGACTTGTATTCGAGTCACCAAGCATTGAGTCCGAGCCTGAGTCATCTCTCCCGTGTCCGAGTCCCGAGTCATACAGATCAAGTCCAAGTCCGAGTCACGAGTCACCTTTAATATATACTTGAATAAACTGTGAGGTACTGCTAAAACCTCACAGCGTTAAAGTTTCCGACTTTACAGCGTTTCCAAATTTAATGAAGTGCAATACATGTCAGTGTTGTAGTCCAGACGGGATAGTCCGATACCAAGACCGAGACCTGAAGTTGGGAGACTGAGACCGAGACCTAGACCAGCCCCTTCAACGCGGACTGAGACCGAGACCGAAATGGTCCGAGACCGAGACCGAGACCGAGACCGCGGATAATAAATAACAATAATCTAAATAAACAACAAGACACTAATTACAGCTGAACAGTCTGTCCTTGAGATGTTGATGTTCAGGGGAATGTGAAGAAAGTGAATTGAAAGTTAGGAATCACTTGTACCTGCTTATTGTGTCATGCGAGTGCTCTTCGTGTTTTTTTCATGCAATAAATTACAACATGGCAACAGAATTTGTTATTGTCACAATCAATTAAAACAATTGGAAACAACCTTATTTAAAGAAGGGGAAAACCTTGTTTTATGAACTCCATATATTTGTGCCACTTTTAATTTTTCTATTTTTAAATATTGTTTAACTACTATAAAGTGTAAATCTGATGAAGAAACTCTAACTTAGGAGTACGACAATGTGTACTAGATTTTGTAAAACTTGAACATGTTGAAACTTGACAAAAGTAAAAAGTTAAAGGTGGATGTTTCATCTGTTATAAGAACTCGGACTCAAAACTCCACAGCCACCCCTTGGTTTCAGCAATGACCACTAACGGATATTTAAATGCAACTTTAATTTTACATTGGACCTTCTTGTAAACCTGATTCAAAACAAATTTGGAGCAAGAAAATATTGATTTATTTTTTTTAAATTTCAGTCATGGAATATAGATGTGTACATGTAGACCAAAAAATTAAGAGATGGTAGCCAGATATGGATTGGTCTGCCCACCCCCATCCTTCTTTGTGATTCTCCATCCAACCCTGCATGTTTGTGTGTCCCCCACATGTTTGTTTCTTGTTCCTCTGTCATTTACCTCTGAAGAAGGCCTGGCGACGGCTGAAATGTAATGCCACTTTATGTTTGTTTAATGTCAATAACGTTACATATACTATAGAAGATTGATGAACCATATTTGCCTGATCTATCTTCTGTTAATCTGCCCGCCGTCATCATCGCCATTGGCCTATTTGAGAATATGGCTGACACAATAGAAGGGCGCTGTCACAAACTGAATGTGGTGGGCGCGATGTACTTTTAGGATTCACGGCTCAGTGCGCACGCCTCTGTGTTTTGTACCGTGCCATCGTATCGCCCGCATCGGCTACTTTGCTGAGCAATTTACTTGAATATTTTAGTGATTAACAAGTACGACATATTGCCAATATATTAATAGTTTATTGTGAAGGCCGTAAACAGCATATAGCGATTAATGGAACACAATTCTTCTCGACTCATGCAAATGCAATTGACGTTTAGGAAGGAGACGAGGCAGGCAATGAGACTGTATTTCTGTGTGACCATGGCAGTAGCTCAAATTGTGTTTATCACAGATGAAAAGATGAATACATGGCGAGTCAAAAAGAAAGTGACCGTATGATATAAAAAAAATGGAAAGCTCCATTTTGTAAACAAATATAATTGGGATAAAGAACATGTTATTGAGTAGTAACTGTGAACATTTCACGTAATTTGCATACTCTATTCCCAAGGCGTGTCTATTTTAATAAAGAGATCACAAAACTCAGCTGTCCACCACTAATGCCAAATTAACGGTCTACGAATTGATGAATATCCATTAATAAATATAATGGAAAAACAAAAAGTTTTCCCGCGTCCACGAATAAAGGAAAAATTGAAAAGGAAAATACACAAACAAATTCACCAATATTTCTAGGGAAAAAGAGTTGAATTGTTACCCATATTCAAAATACAAAATCTGACGGTAAAAATAATGTTTCAGTCTTGATTCATAAGATTTAAATCTCAGTTGTTTGTGGAATCAATGAGGATGGCTATAATTAAAGTGCTTGTTTCAACAGATCATCCCACAATAAAAACGAGAAATAAGAAAAGGAGCAATGGTTATTGGACTATGCCTCACTCACTAGAAAGTGAAGAGAGACATGTCCATTACCATCACACTGCAGTCACATTTGCCCTAAACTGATTCTTTACTTAACCCTAAAAGGGCTGGGGGCGGAATCCGCCCTCCTCACTTTTTGGCTGGTCTCGACTCGAGACCAGCCAAAATATCGAGACCAAAGGTGACCGAGACCGAGACGAAGACCGAGATCACACCTCCCAAGACCAAGACCGAGACCGAGACCGAGACCGAGACCGGCAAAAAGTGGTCTCGAGAACGAGACCGAGACCGAAACTAGTCTCGAGACCTACAACACTGACATGTAGGCCTATATTATTTCAAATAATGCAAGGCACCAGTGTCTGGAAAGCACAATGTGGCAACAAACACCAGACCGGCGTGACTCGGGACTCAACCAAAATTACCACAAAGCACTTATTTTTTTTCTCAACAATATAATTACAATTTATTTTGAAGCGATCCTCTCCTGAGCAAGCGATATAGTATGTGCGGTGCAGAAGAAACGCATATACTGTACGTACACAGCACGTGCAAATGGCTTGTTTTCGATATATTGATTTCGGAAATCAATGTATCGAAACATGTGCCGCAGCACTTGATATTGCGTAAATGCCAGCTGGATAGTTTTCAGTACAAAATTATCCTTTCCAGACACTATAGTGCCTTGCCTTATTTGACATGTTATGCATGTTTTTCCAGTTAATTAGATTAGAGAAAAGCTGTAAAAAAAGAAGACATAAATATATTTCAGATTGAAGGTGACTCGTGACTCGGACTCAAACTCGGATTCGACCTTTGTGACTCGTAACTCGGACTCGATGTTTTGTGACCCCAATATAAGTCTGCAAAACACTATCATGCTTGCATTTACGCTTGCATGTACAACAGAAGCAATTCCACTTGCACGGCTGTGGGTGTACATCACTTAGATGCGTTTCTTCTGCACCGCACAGACTGTATCACATGCTCAGGAGAGGATAGTCTTAAAATTATTAGGTGTTGGGCCTTGAGCCCAATACCTATTGTTTTTGTAAGATTTTACTGTTAGTATTCTTCCCAGCATATTCTCAGGAATTTGTTTCCGGAACTGTTTAGAGAAATGGAAACATATATGAACTTCATTTGTCAATAAATGAATGCCCAATCCACAGCAGATGGTCTTTTTTTGTACTTACGTCATCATGACGTCATCATGGGTCACGTGACGTCACTCGAAAGTTTAATAAATTTAATCTTTGAAATTCCATATAAAATCAACCGTGGGAGACCAGAACCTGAAATTTGCTGGAATCGACATGGTAATACATGATCTTCATTTTATTTTGTGCGCATAAAATCACGTGACCCTTCCTTCCGGTCGAAACCGGAAGTGCCTAATAATTTGAAAGTGGAAAAAGATATGAACTTGCGTTTAACGATTTAAGTGTCTGCCTGGATTGACCTTTGAAAAAAAAAATGGGTGACGCCATGAAGTGTTGGAGCGCCCTCTAGCGGCAAGTTAAAAAAACGTCAAAAACGCATTTTCACTTGATGTCTGTGGCGAAGTTTGCGGTAATCGCTTCAGAATTAATGTACATGATGAACTTAATGCAGAAAAGACCTGTGCGCGAAAAAAAATGGATGACGTCATCAGACCGGAAGTTATAAAGAAAATACCTTTAAACCTTAAACAATTGCTAAAAAATCAACCGTGAGAGATATAATCAAGATGTGGCTATATATAGCAGAGTAAATACAGCTTTTGAGGTTTTTGGCGATGACGTCACAATGACGTCATCAAGTGTCATAATACAAGCAAATAAATATTTCCATCTTTAATCTTTGAAAATCAATATGAAATCAACTGCTACAGATTTGATTGTGTTTGTTATGGCAATCGATAAAATATTGCGGAGTCTTCATTTTTGGTTTTAAGTGCAAAATCACGTGACCTTTCCTTCCGGTCAATTGAAATTGGCAGAAGATGCGAACTTGCTTTCAACGATTCGAGTTTCTGCCTAGATAGTACTGTACAACAATTTTACAGGTGACGTCATCAAATGTTAGAGCGCCCTCTGGCTCTGGCGGCATGTTGAAAAGTCAAACATGGATTTAAACATGCATATTGTGAGTTGATGTGTGTGGCAAAGTTTGTGGTAATCCATGGCCCAACACCGTGTGGTTGTTCCTACAACCTCTAGTTTGTTATTATATTGTTGAAAAAATAAGGTTATTTTGGCCGTGTCATGAATCACGTAGGTCGAGTCCGAGTCCGCAGGGTCGCGTTCGAGTCCGAGTTTTCGTGTAGGACTCGAGTCCGAGTCCGGGTGAAATAACTGGTGAAACAAATGTAAATTGTCATTTGCAAGAAAAAAAGCAACTTTGTATCAGTACTAACGATGGCTCTCACCGAACCAACACTGTGCAAAAGCGCTTTTTTTCAAATATGCATCCGTTGGCGCCAGCCAACTATTTGTTAAATTCGACCATACACGCTCGCTACGCGTACGATAGATACATGTATGAATTCCCCCCCCCCCCCCACGATTCAAGTATGTCATGTGACCTATGGTTCTATGCACGGGAAATTCCGAGGTCGAAAGTATTTCCGTGCTTTTCCAACACTTATGGACACAAAACTTTGAACAGCTCAGTGGAACGATGTCTGCTATAAATTACTGGCCCTCTATTCGGTACATTTCATAAAACTACGACAACTGCAATACT